CAAAACAAACTCAAGAAGAGTTTATTAAATACCTTACATTAGCTGCTGATAATTGTAATCCTTATGCATTATTTCACTTGGGTGATATGTATTTAAATGGAAAATTTCATGTTAAACCAGATCGTGATCTTGCTATTAGAAAGTTGAAATTGGCTACCTCTCTTGGAAATTCCAATGCAAAAGCATTGCTAAAAAGAGAGGGTGAACTAATTGAATAATAATATTAATATTCTGATATTTATTATTTTTTTCAAAAATAACTTGTATTTTATTCTTTTGATTATTAGTTATGTATTATTATTTCATACTAAAAGGTTACTAATGTGTTTATACATTTAAAAGAACAGTTTAACAAAACTTTATTCTAAATATATTTATATATTTTATTTTTGTATTATTAACTAAATAAATAAATAAATTTAAATTTTGATTAAAATTGGGTTTAAAAATTTACAGCAATATACATTTATACTTTAAAATTCCACTTCACATTGCATACATAGTTAACGTTGGAAATTCATTTACAAGATTAAAATAGCTTGTAGTTGCATATTATTTGTCGTTGCTGTTTGCAGAAATGTGTATTGCTAAAATACAGCAATGAATAATAAAGAACCGCAGCGAAAGATTTGGAAGAAGTCAGTGTTATAATCAAACTATATCAATACACACTATGGGTTTTGGATGTGGGCCACAGTTTGTAAAATTTGAAAATAACCAATGTAATCGTGAATGAGAGAGCTGGATGGAATAATGTGAACAATAGACCAATTTAACTACAACGGTGTATGTATGAGAGGATAATAACAAACTTTGGGTCAGCAAAATGGGTTTTTTATAACTGTTAGAGCACTACTTGGACGATATGACGCTATAGAATGAATTAATCGGTGATAATAATGAGGACGGTGATGATTTGGCAATATCTTATTAAGCACCCAGAAAATGTGTACCAGGTTGGGATCGGATGATCGTGTGGAAAGATAAGTCGGAATGATAAGAACATTCGGAACTAGAAATCAAAATTACGTATTTCATAATGTTAAACATTACATACTCATATAAAAAGTTAATAATCAATATTGTAATTAGCGTTAACTTAGCATAATATTTTTCGCTTGTTTTTTCTTCCTGCAAAAAAAAAAAAAAAAAGACAAACATGTTACAGACTTTAATATTGTGAGCAAGTTATTATTTCGTTAATTACAAGAAACCATCAAATTGAAACCTAAATAAACATTGAATAT